AGTCTTTTACAGCTTTAATGTCATCACTATCGTAGAGAAATAGTTTGATTTCAGTATGATTTTCTACAGCATTGATTAGATCCATAGCATTGTCGTAACTATTATCTGGATCAAAGGCAATAGTTTCGTCAAATTTGGAATTGAATGGTATATAACAACAGTAGTTTTTTACCAAACTCAATCAACACCTGACCCGAAAAATCTCACGCTTCAAAAATCTCAGGCTTCATATTTCGTTAAATTGTAATTTTCTCTAAATTAAACGGAATTTTGTCTTGAAAATAATTCTGAACACAGGTCATGGTGTCTCCACTGTCGTGTAAAAGTTTGATCGAAATCGATTCGTCCATTTAGAAGTTAGAGAAAAAACGGTCATCAAAATCCCACGCTTCAAACTGAGTGAAAAAACAACTATTTGAGTTTTTCCTTCTGCAAACTATTTACCTATGAAATGATTTTTATGCAGCTAGATGCAGCTCGCCGAGCTGCATCTTTTAGTCGGACTTGTTTTGCAGAGCAGTGCTTAATTCAGTCTCTGAAAGATTTCAAAATCTCACGCTTTATCGTCTCCACAAAGCTTTTCCTCCCCAAAAAGACCAGAAAGTGATATTTAGAATACGCCAATAGTACGGCTCGATAGACAATTTAAAATTGTTGAAAATGTACATTTCAGTTTTTTGCCTACTTCTTCTATTTCTAGAAAATTTTCCTTTTTCTAAGGATAAGTCATCAGGAAAACGGTTTTTTTGATATCACATGACTCTATCTCAGTGTTCTGACGACATCTAGGGCTGAAATTTTTAGGGTTGCTTGAATAAGCCATTAGGAACGAAAGAGAAAAAGTTTTTTTGAAATCGGTTGAGATGAATAGAAGTTATAGCCCAAATGAAGAAAAAAGTTGATTGTAAAACGCACTTGCACTTCACTCATATGTATGATCAAATGAACAAAGAGACAGAGATCATATGTATGACTAGGGGAGGTACCCAACGTCGGTCTAGATAATTTGATAGTACATGTTTGACCGTATGAGAAGACGACGTCGCTATGGTCTTCTATGGATTACCGATCGGGGATATCGCACAATACGCTTGGATCTTTTCCTTCTCAACTTTTAGTATTTGAGATTTTGAGATTTTTATAAATATCTTTTGCACTTGAAGTCTAATCAAAAAGATCGTAGTAATCTGTGAATCTTGTGATGTGTATATTGAATGTCAAACTTGATTGTGCGTGAGTAAGTTTATTGGTAGAATGGAGGGAAGATGAGAAACACGCCTATATATATTTCTTCTAAAATAATTATTTATTAATTGAAATGAGTTTTACTCTCATTTCGAAAAACTTTGGATTCACTCCAGAAACTTAACGTCGTCCAGTGCTTTTTACTCTTCGATGCGTTCCTAACTATGTCCTTACCATACACTGACTGTTTTTCTCAGATAATGGCTCTTCATATTCCTCTCATTTCTGTCGGTGCTTCTCACCCTTTACCTTTTAGTTTGATGATTCAATATTTCAATAATATTCGATTTTCTAATATCACGATGTAATACTTCCTTGTTAACAGGTTTGATAATACTTCCTTGTTAACAGGTTTGTTGCTTATTTTTAAAGCATATTGATTAGGTTCATGTTTATCAATTAAGCAATTAAATACCATTGAATTGGGTCCAGTTCCTAATAGTGTATCATGGATACGAATATCTTTAGGTAATGGTTCTAATCGATTATAACCAAATTGTGACGTATTTGTAGTAAGAAATTTTGTTAAATAATGCAATAAATATTCATTTTCATTTTCGATGGCTTTTACCGATGATTCATATTTAACATTATCGTCATTATCTGATCTGAATACTTTGGCATATATTCTATCATGAAAATCAGTTATTGCCCCAATTATATATGTACGTGATGCTGGTGAATAATCTAATACAATTCGTGATCTAATACAATGATTTTTTGATGAATCATGAAGTTTTACATACTTTTCGACCCTTTCGAAGCCTCAATATGGCGACCGAGACTTGGGAAAATACTGCATCTTATTCAGTTTTCTTTACTCTTTCGAATGAGACGTCATTCAAAAAAAAACATCGAAAAAGGGCTGTAAACGACATAAGGGAAATGCATGTCAGATATTTGCAATTCGTCGCACAAAAGAACAATTCTCGTGGAAAAGGCCAAAATTTTCCTGTCTGGGACGAAAATTCTCGTCGTAATTTTCAGAATTCCTATAGGAAAGTGAAATTCTCATGTGGACTGCATCCCGCGTATTCTCAATTTCTGTCACGGAAGAAGAATCCCCCTCATGGAAAAGACAAAGAAGAAGAATTCTGGCGTCAAAGACTAAACTTCTCGTGTCAAGACTAGGTAATTGGGCGGCAATTGCAAAATTTCTTGGTCAATCCGACAGCAGGGCCCTTATTATTACATCTTCATTTCTTTTTTGGCGTTGACATAATCGCCGTGATTTCTGCCTAAATTTTATTTTTCTCATTAGTTGGAGAAAAGGTACCAATGATAAATTTAAAGAAATTTCGGAGTTGAGCAAAGGGGGTAACTTTGTTTTGCACGAAAGCAGTGATTAAGAAGTGCTTAAGTTCACATCACACTCTAGTTGTTGACTGTTAGTTGGATCAAATGTAAGTCAGATTAAATTATCTCCTAAAAATCTGTAGTTTTCCAAACACACGCTGTCAGTCTCTCTGAAGAACCTACATTTTGAACTTTGTATTTTTTTAGAAGTGCTTGACGAGAGGATATTTTTTGCACATATTTGACAAACCTAAAATACCAGAAGCTAACGTATTAAAAGAAAATGGAACAGCTACTCATTTAGCAGAGTATCTTATCTGTTACACAAAGCTTGTTGATGTCTTCACCTAAAAATTGGATAACTTACATTTTTGGAGGGAGTTAATTGAATGTAATTATATTTATCAGATCTTTCACTCATTAACAAATTAGCAGGATTATTGCTGTAATTGCTCAGAGTTTCTTCAACATTAATAGATGAATTAATCTTTGGCATTCCTGGGTTTTGTAATATATAAAACAAAAGACAGCTCCTTTGAATTATAGCTTGCATTCAATTCTTGGTTTATCATACGACAAATATGATCACTTTTATCATGTAAATGAATCGGTAATACATTATTTAGTTCAACAGCATATGAAATGTGTTCTAGCTGCATATATTTTATTAATTTGTTAACGAAATATAATACGTTTTCTACATATTTATTACCCATTTTGCTTGCCTCTGATAGTGAAGAAGCCATCTGAAAAAAATTAAAGACCAGCTCCTGTGACAGAAGAAAATTATTTTAGAAAGAATGTATGAGATTGGTCCAAGCTAGTCCTTGCTAAAAATAAAAGTCTAATAATATTATCAATATCTTTAATTTTCAGCAGCAAGAAAGAAAAATAAGATTAATATTATCAAAAAAACAACCTGAAATTCAACAACTTCAACAGAAAATAAAGAATTATGGTGAACCATGATCAAAGTGAAGGTAAATCAAGGGGGAAAAGGGGGATCCGGGATCCCCGTAGATCCCCACGGGTCCGCCAAGATCCCCATGGATCCGTCTCAATATTCTTCTGCTAAAACAGAACAATCCTGTTCCCAAAACAGAACAGTGCGAGTCACGAAACAGGACATTCGTGTTCCCGAAACAGCACACGCCCGTTCATTTATTGGGAAAATTTCCTGGATAACGGGACAATTGTGTTCTGTTCTGCGAATTCTTTTCCCACAGGCAGAACATTTTTGTTTTACTTGTGGGAACAGAGATTTCTGGAACAGTTCGGTTCAATAAAATTGTATCCGCATGGATCCCGGAGCCGCCTTTTCTCCCTTGAGGCAAATAGTCGTTAGTTTTGACGTCTTTTAGCACGTGTACGATCTGCTGGCGGTGTTCTTGATCTTGATTGTTGAACATTTTGTATTTGAGTTCGATCATCACTGACAACAGTGTCTTTTGTCGATCGTACATTGACGTTATCTGATGAATTTAGTTTTCTTTTTGATCGATCACGTTTTGGTGTTTGTTGTTCATTCGATTTTCGATTTGAAATACTTTTATCTGAAACGAAAAGAAGAATATATTTAAGAGCGAACTATTCTTAACATAGAAAATTTTGCAGTTGATTTAGTATTTCTTAATTATTTATATCATACCGTGATATAAAATAAGCGCAATATTGAGTAAGACATAAAACGATTTTCTTTTGTGTGATTTGGTCTTCCCGTTTTTCACTTACTTTTCGCTAAGATTTTTTTAAAAACCTCGAGAGAACGTCAGTGTTACGTACCATCCTTTTCATCTAGTCTATCTTCACTATTACCAATAAATCCATCTTCATTATTAACTGTTGGGATACTTTTCGATTGATGCTGTAGGAGATATAGAAAAGAAGGTTTTTCTGTGTCTTTAAAGTTTAACTCCAACAGTCATTCGTCTTACCGTTTTAATTTATATTTGTTTTTACTTTTGTAATTTTTTTACTACTACTACTTTGCTTTTTATCAGCTAAAGATGAGAATAAAAAAAGAAAAAAACGTTAATTTTGGAAGACAAAATTGAGAGTTATTAAGTTACCAGGATCAATATTTGATGTTGTTATTGGTTTGTTAGCAACTACACTCGATTGCTTATATAGAAATGAAGAAATATCTTGCTGGAATATTTTGGAATAGGGACCAAATGATATTTGTCGATAAGGTTCAACTTTTATTTTTGCTTTTTCCGCAGCAAAATTTAGTTTTACACATGCTTGTTTAAATGACAAATAGTTAAGGCCATATTCACGTAATTTTTCTTCATATGCAATAATTTCAGCTGTCAATTCATTTTCGTATGGTAATTGTTTAACATACAATTTCAATGATTTAATTTCATTATGAGCACCTAACGGATAAACTGCTAAAAGTTCTTTTTTAGTCAAATCTTTTAATAGTACTTCTAACAAATTATTATTTCGTTTTGTATAGGGATCTGTGTATAAATGTGTCTTTGTAAAAGCAACACTATCAAATAAAAGAATTTGACGGCAAACTCTTGATACTTTTTCCGCATTAGAACTTTGGCTTGTTGCTGAACTCAATGATATATCATCATCTTTAAATGTGATTGGTAATTGTGGCGATGTAACAGATTTACGTTCAGTTCTAAACAATGCTTTATACTGCTCTAAATTTGTTTCAATGAAATAAATGGAGAAGTATCAACATTCTGTGCTCGTTGCTGATACTGCTGTCATTGCATTATTAATCTTTCCACCATAATTATTTTTTATTATATTTTTAACTTTTTCAATAAATTTTTCAACTGTGGTTTTATCTAATTCAAATGTTGTATGTTCTTCATGATAGAACTGTAATACATCAAAAGCACATTCAATTATAGTTAGCGATGACATTTGCCTTAATAAATGACTAGATGTTTCGGTTAAACGGCATGAATAATGAGCATTGTTTATTTCATGTGCTAAACAAAAGGGATACAATTTAAGTTATAACAGCCCGAAATAAAACTTGCTTCTGAAGAACTAATGTCCTTTTACGGACTCTCAGATCTATACTGCTCATGTTTGCAAAAAAACTTTGTTATCTCCACATAAGTAAGTACCTCAACCATTGGATCAACAACAGGAGCATTTTTTCTTCTTCTCATTGCCAAAATTGACTGAATAACTTCACCTGTAGATGCTGCAGTAACAATTATTCTAGCTTCATTAATATTAATAATTTCATTCGAAAGTATTTTTCTGTACGATGTCGGACAATTCCACATTTGCAATAGCAGATTACGGCAGTCAAATGCGCTTGATGTTTTTGAAAATTTTCCTAAAATGCAAAAAGAAAATCTTATCTCTGAAGGAAGGATAGCGTTTCTCTTTTCTTCAAAAAAATATTAAAAGCTGCTGATGAAAAAATTTGGTTTCTTGAAAGTGAAAACGAATATTTTGTTTAAACATAAACGATTCTCGATCTCAAATTATTCATTAATCTTCAGAAATACTTGACTGTCGAGCATGATCCAGTAAACTCAAAAAATTATACACGATCTATAATTGTTGCCTTCTTGCTCTTTAATAATACCACACTTTTCCATCTCACCTTCATCCAGCAATAGCCATTTCGTTGAATGATCTAGATGTTTTAATACTCCGGCGTTACTGAATTCATCAGCACTACAACAGAGAGAAAAAAGCGGTTATATTCGAATCACTTCCCATATACGAAGACCAACTCACATGACAAAATTCTGTTTATTTGCTGGATCATAAAATTTCGTTGGTAAAAACTTTTGAATATGTTCAACAGCACGTCTCAGCACAGAAAATAAAGTCGACTTTCCATACGCTTAAATTAAAAATTGTATAGGTTACAGCAAATAATATATCGAAAACTGTGCCTCAGAATTATAGTACAAGAATATTGCTGTTTAAAAACGTACTTGGCATGGCTGCTAATATAGAATAAATTATCGTTGCATTTGGAAATTGGTTATCACGTAAAATTGATGTATAACCACACAAAACACTAGCCAGGCTTGGTAGAACAATGCCAAAGCCGACTGGATCTAGCTGGAGATTACTGTACATGTGTTGAATCCAATGATGGACATAATCTGTACGATATAGTTTAGACAAATCATATTTAGTTTTGATAGCTTTACTAAACTTCATAGTTGTTTCAGCATCCATTTTAGAGAAGACTACAATAAAAGTAAAAAGTTATATTGTGCTAATTCATGTAAAAGCTTTAGATTCAACGATACTTACTGGAGGCAAATACGGCTCTTTTTAACAAGGTTCCAAATACTTCTATCAAATTCAATTTATATAGTTATCGAAAATAAAACAACAAAGTACCGGTAAATTTTGGTACAGTCTTGAAGGTATGTATATGCCTATTCCGAAAACATATTGAGAAAAAGATCACACATACCGTAACAACATCTTATCTAAGAAATATCATTTTATTTAGGGCTATCCAAAAGTAGTGAAGGAGGTACTATTTTTTCTTATAGAAAGCTTGAAAATTTTTTCTTTTTTTATGAATAGATAGAGCGTCTTTCGATCTATTTTTCTATGCTATTTGATCACTATTCAATTAATATTATAATAATAAATTTTCGATACGATCTACTTCTTTCGTATATGTGCTAGTAGCATGAACATGAATGCCCGTGAGTATTTTTTGAATAATGTTTAATAGCAACAAGATAGAGAACTGCGATTTTCACCATTAAACAGAGGAGATGAAGACGCATCGAACCATATATTACTGATTTTTCTAACCTGTTTTTTGTATGGTTTTTAGTTGACCTTTTAAAGAACAAACTTATCCCGTGAGTTGTTTACAGTGAATGTCTAATAATCAGGTTCACATTCAAACCGCTAATCGAAGATCTACAAACTGCGAAAGACTCAGACGTAAATTTAATTATTTGGGG